ATTACTAAAATTTACAAAATTTATCCCTTTAGTTAAAGCCATATTTATCATATTATATGTATAGGGAAAATAATTTTTACTATGAATAATAACAAATATAAACAGATGTAAATTGATTTTAAATTGCTAACCAGATTTTTGTGTTTTTGGGAGTATCTTATCAAGAGACTAATGACCAGTTTTTGTTATAAAAAAAAAAACTAAAGACTTTTGTTGTCAATAATTTTGTTAACTTATTTGGTTCAATTATCATCATAATCATGTTATAAGTTGATGAGAAAAATTCAGAACAAGAAAATTTTCCTTGGTAGTTCCTTTCATAGAACAGAGTAGTACACAAGAGATTTAGTGATAAGCAAGTAGTAACATAATGTTACTGATCAGATTCAAAGGTGATCAAATCCTCCGGAGAGCTTTTGTGTAATATGTTAGTGCCCAAAGAGTGAACATGTTCCTATAAGTTGGATAATGCAGCAGCAAATTCATCTTGTAAGCTCCCCTTATTTCCTTTAAAAAAATAAACAGTATCAAATAAGTATATCATAAAAGCCAATATCACACTATAGTCTAGTGGTCAAGTAGCAAGAACCAACCTGTTGTGGGAAATCACCGTTATCCATTTGCGAATTGATAAGCACTTTTGCGGCGCGATGAACAGGCAAAGGATCTCTATCCATCTGACAACTCATAATTAGAACCATCAGTGCTTGTCCTGTATTCACCACATTGGTCTTGTTTCCATCCAAAGGAATATATTTCTTGTTTGGGCAAGAGAGATAACTCTCACCCCAACCGCCTTCAACGTTCTGTTTCTCGAGAAGGAACAGAACCGCTCTACGAATCGCCTCACAGTTATGGTAAGTCTTCCCTGCAGCCACTAGACCTCGAACCGCAAAGAAGGTCGCATAAATGAAGCATACACCCCAATTTCCATACCATGAACCATCCGGCATTTGCAAGTCCTCTATGTATTTCACTCCCTTGGTTATAAAACCTTCAACCTCTTCCCTTCTATGCCTTGGAAACTGTTTCATGAACTGAGCTAATGCTACTATCGCCGATCCCGTGCATTCTAGAGACCTTAAAATTGTTCAATACCATAGTTACGAGCCGCAAGATTTGTT